ATTCAGCTCAAGAACTGGACTGACGCTGAATGAAAGACGTGTTCATTTCGTTAGACAGCCAGAACCTAAAGTTTAGCCAGTGTTAGAGTTTCCGATACCAGCTGGTTCTAGAATCAAAAAGTTAGAATGTTTACAAGAGTTGGATTACAGGTGTACAAACAACTCTGTTGCACACTGGTCAGTCATACAATTAGAGTTTCCGATACCAGCTGATTCTAGAATCAAAAAGTTAGAATGTTTACAAGAGTTGGATTACAGGTGTACAAACAACTCTGTTGCACACTGGTCAGTCATACAATTAGAGTTTCCGATACCAGCTGATTCTAGAATCAAAAAGTTAGAATGTTTACAAGAGTTGGATTACAGGTGTACAAACAACTCTGTTGCACACTGGTCAGTCATACAATGGTTTCTGTGTTTACGTTTTGCAACGCCCACCGGTGGCTCTTTGATAAATCTGAGGGTTTATAATTCTAAAAATCAGGTTTAAATACCTATTGCGTATCTTTGTGTTTAACAACAAAATATAGAAACAGACGTTTTGAAACACTCAGAGAGTCAGGTGAAACACTGACTGAGGACGAAACGTTATTAAAGGTAATACAAAAAATCAACAGCGACAAAATCAATCGCTGAAAAAGTTAAAATGTTCGCAGATAACTTTTATGAATTTCGCGCCAGCTACATTACGACTATCTGCGCCAGCCGTCCTCAAGACTGAACTGACGAAACGAGAGGAACGGCAGATAGTCCACAGAACCACATACCAGCTCTTGGGCTACTCAGATCGAATAGCTGGATTTGATTGTCACTTTTATGACGCCCCCACACCCTTAACGTGTGGAGCGTGTTTTTATATCAATGAGACGCGAACCATGCATCATATGCTTAATAGCCAGGCAAGAAATGTTGAAACAATGATTAACACAAAAAATTACAAATCGTGATTCACATTTAATATCATAATAAAAATAACTTGAAACCAAGAATTTGTTTCATAATCCAATTCGAACTATGTAAAACTGAACATTAAGCCTATTTCGTACTTTCCATACAGTTCTAGAACTCATTAAGCAGTTACAACAAACAGAGTCTTAATATTTACTTCCGGCCCGGCATGGCCAGGTGGTTAGGGCGCTCGACTCGCAATCTGAGTGTCACGGCTTCGAATCTTCGTCCCACCAAACATGCTCGCCCTTTCAGCCGTGGGGGCGTTATAATATGACGGTCAATCCCACTATACGTTGGTAAAAGAGTAGTTTTACAGTGCTAAATTAGGGACGGCTAGCGCAGATAGCCCTCGTGTAGTTTTGCGCGAAATTCAAAAACAAACAATGTTTACTTCCTAACGGAAATACTCACTCAATATGATTGTCTAACATCGACGTTTCGCCGGAAGTACAACACGTTAAACTTGATTCATTTTAATCATGAACAACCTTCTACTAAAATTACACAATGGCCCTGCCGCTGTATGGATAGATAGCCATACAATTTTCACTAATAGTAGCTAGCTAATTTATGACATAGATGAATTGAATAAAAATTTAAATAATAGAAAAATGTCAGTGGTGAAGCCATAAACTAATCCTTCATATATAGGCCTTTTGACCTTTCACCTAGATGTGAAATATTAACTTTTTACATTCAAACTTTTCAAACCTTTTAATTATCTATCTTATTATTTGTGATAAAAACAACTGATAACTACCAGTCTAAAACATAAGATAATTTTAAAAATTGCCAATGAAATAAGGTACTTTTTTGGTTGACTAATTTATTGATAATTAGTTAATAATCTGAGATCAAAAAATGAGCTAACCATGTTGATTAGAATTAAAAATTAAATTATAATTTAATGCTATTGATTTTATGTAACAAACGTATATTAAGTGCACCAGTGTCGTAATTCTATGAACAAGAAAATTAAGTCAATATTTATTAGCAAGACTGCCGAGAGGGGGAGTAGCTGAGGCAGTTACTCAACGACCCAGGAAAGCAATATGGGTCCAGAGTAATCCCAGAAGCCCACCAAAAATGGGCCAAAAGGACCCAGTAGCATAAAATTGGTAGGATAGGTCATGTAAGAGGTCAAGGATGGGTCCTTTATCTCGGGTCTATCCCTGGACCCAGTGAGCACTTAGCAGCTGTATTCTTTAATTCATGTTCAACATCAACAAATATTTGATGAGAATCAACGCGGTACTGAAATATCAATGAAGAGTGTCGAAATAGTACACCAGGTGGCTCTCTCTGATGCTCATGTGACACAATGGTACAAAAAGGTATGTATTTGGAAGTACATCCGATAAAGAGACCTCGTGAAGAATTTAGTCATAAAGCGTCCTCTTTCATCGATATAAAAAAATTTCACTTGTTCACACTATAATTAATCCGATAAAAATTCTTATGCCGAAAATTAAGTCTTATTAATCCAACAAATGAGCTCTCCAGTATTTCTGATACATTTAATTGTGTTAACATTTACCACAACATTCGAAATAACGAATATCTGTCAATCGGATATACTTGTTTTTAACGATGTTTTTTGGTCACATAAAACAAAACTAACGTATTTGTTGTAAGTCATTAAAAAGTATACCGACTTTTTTTTCCCAGGCTTCTGAGTCACTCCGACCAGTAACGTTAGCTTTGTCTAGTTTACAATTTCTTTTAATTGATTACAATAGATAATTTGGAATATGTCCTCGGTCATGTTATTGTTTTTCACCAGCAAACTACAGAAGTCTAATAGAAACCACAAAAGGACGAATACAGAGGAAAGAAGAATTAACCCTCACATAAATCCCATCGGATGTTTAAACGTATTTTTCAAATTATTTATGCACCAAACTGCTTGTAGTGTCATGACTTTGTTGGTTATACGCCCCTAATAACGTACAAGTTGGTGGAGAATGGACGTAAGTAATATGTGATCTTACTAATTTTCTATGTGAGAGATGAAGGAAGGCGAATAGTAATTAATGTGATTAATTGCAATAGTAACGGTATTTTTTTCTACACTACTTGTTGAGATCACATATTACTTACGTCCATTCTCCACAGATCACATATTACTTACGTCCATTCTCCACAGATCACATGTTACTTACGTCCATTCTCCACAGATCACATATTACTTACGTCCATTCTCCACAGATCACATATTACTTACGTCCATTCTTCACAGATCACATGTTACTTACGTCCATTCTCCACAGATCACATATTACTTACGTCCATTCTCCACAGATCACATGTTACTTACGTCCATTCTCCACACTCAGTGTTGTAACAGACAAAAACTTATGTGGAACCCATCGGTAGTGAACAGTATGTAAACTCAGTAATTTGAGGGTTAAAGGTCAAAGATATAAGTAAGCTATTATTACAGTGATTATACTGAGGATATCAACTAGACCATTATATATATATATATCTTAATTACTACTAGATGAAAATATTAAAATGATACCGGTATACATTAATGCACTCAAATGACACTCTCAATCTGCTGAAGTTCAGTGATAATATCTTGTGTTATTTTCTTGTGTTGTTGTGACTTTTTACTGAGTGACGTATACATAGTGTTAGGACTTCACATGAAGATTGTAGGAAATATTCAACACTGTTATAAACTGTGGTGTAGTCGGTTGATGTTGTGAAAACTCTTTTAACATTGGATGAAAAGTTAAAAACCGTGTCATTGTTAAATATATATTGAGACATAGAATCATATATAACGTTCTAACATAAACATAAAAACTGTTGCAACACTAGGAACGTTTGTTAATGAATAAGGTGAGGATACAGTTTATAACATGTGTCGAACCTGGAATCAGTATATTCTGAAAAAAAAGAAGTTAATTGGCGGCTACTGTATGCTTTTTGGAGAATAGGGTCCAAAAATGTATTGTTATTATGCGTTTTTCAGTTGAATATGAAAATTTCTAATGTTATTTTTCTTTACCCAGTAGAGTCATATCAGAGAGAGACCTCTGGTGACTACATCATGCGACAAAACAATCTTTATATTTAACAGTTACTTATCCAGTTCCTTCTACAATGTTAGAAAAGTAAAGTTGCAGAGAAAACGTTACGTTTGAAATTACACTTTAATGTTCTTCTTTTTATCGGGTTTTTTTTTATGTGTGTGTTCTAATGCACACAAAAAATATTTTATAATAAAATTATAAAAACTTTATTCGTGTTCAAATGTAATCTTCAAAATCGAAATGGTGTTAAAGAAGGAGAAATCGCTAAATGTGGTCCTCTTCAAGTATGCAAAACGTTAGCGTAACGCGAGTTATACGTTTGGTTTACCAGAACTTTGTTAAAATTTAGCCTATAAATGAATAAAACAGTAGTTAAAATCGCTGTAAGAGCAAGTTGTTTGCAAATATAGCTCTCTGTGCTGTGTCCCCCACGAATATCGAAACCCGGTTTTTTGGCGTTATAAGCCTTCAGACTCAAAGTTGAGTCACTGGGGGGGGGTCAAAAGGAACGAGAAAATACGCTAAAATCCGGTGTCCATTTCTCCTTAGAGATAACCCAGTGTGTAGCTTTGGGCTAAGAAACCAACAATATCGAATATATTTTTTTTACCCTAACGACGATCTTTTTACTTGTATTTTTTCTATTTGGCTGTAGCAGCAATCATTTGCTACTCATATAATTTAGATTTTTTTTTCTTTCTTGTATGTTACATTTCGCTTAAAGCTACTCCAGGGCTATCTGCGCTAACTGTCCCTACTTTTGGAGTGATAGACTAGTGAAAAGGTAGCTAGGCAACATTGCCAACTCGTATGCTACTTTAATTCAATAATGGTATTCGACAGTCACTCTTACAACACACCTACGACCACATAGTGAGGGGCTAAACACTCGGCTCGTTTTTTTATAGTTTTACATACTAGCATGATTATTTTCCTTTGGAATATTTGCTAAATCAAAACTGAAAAAGATTACAATCGAGAATTTCATTTGGAAAAAAAAAATCAGTAAAAATAATTCTAATATACTGTTAAATACAGTTAACATTGACTGTATGGTTCTATTTTTCATGCTGTTACTGGTTCTTGCAGCTCATTCTCTTCAATTGGATCTTCTGTTTGATATTTGGCCAGTCTGTGAGAAAAGAAATATGGATAAAAAAATTAATATTTTATTTAAAATAAAATAAGCGAAAATTTGCTATAATAACTTTTAAGAACATTTACAAACTGATTCTCTAATTCTAATTCAAACTTATACTAGATGGTGATTTAGATATTTAACTGCCAGCAAGGGTATACTTGAATACGTCACAGTTTCTCTAAAAGACTTTACATCCTTTTTTAACTGTATAATAGTTCACAGCATTTTTTTTATGGTAAGCACAAAGCTAAATAATGGGCTATTTGTGTTGTGTCCACTGTCGGTATCGAAACTCGATTCCTAGCGTCATATATCCAGATACTTACGATTGATCTACTGAGGGAGACTGATGGGGGAGTGGGTTACAGCTTCTTTAAAAATTTAGCACAAAGCTAAATAATGGGCTATTTATGTTGTGTCCACCGTGGGTATCGAAACCCGCTTTCTAACGTCATATATCCAGATACTTACGATTTATCTAATGAGGGAGACTGATGGTAGGGTGGGTTACAGCTTCTTTAAAAATTCTCCACCTTTTTAATAAGTAAAAATTTTCTTTAAAACTTAAAAGAATATTTATTTTGTATTTTTCAAAACAATCTCATATATTAGATATAACTAGCATAAAATATGCGCGGCTGTTGACGAGTACAAAGGGCCCTCTTTTGATTCATACAGTATGTACCAATGATGGTATTCCATTGTGCGAAATTACTTTCATATCTACCCTAATATAGTTCGTACCCAGAAAACAAAACCGTGTGTCAAGTTTAGTTTTACTGGATAGTGACTTCTTCTTTTCCAGTGGGTTTTATGTTTTGGTGGTATTTAAGACCTGGGAGGGTCAGGTTCAATCTAGATATCTTTGTTAATAAGGATAACCCCTGGACTAACCCAAGTCCTTCTGCCAAGTTTGGTCCTGCTAGTTTGTTTGTTTTGAATTTCGCGCAAAGCTACACGAGGGCTATCTGTGCTAGCCGCCCCTAATTTAGTAGTGTAAGCCTAGAGGAAAGACAGCTAATCATCACCACTCACCGCCAACTCTCGGACTACTCTTTTTACTAAGTTACAGAGAAACATATTTGTAGTTGCTTGCGCTATAAATAACAAATTTTGTAATTATACTTTTAAAGAAAATTTTCGCTTCTCGAGAACCTACATCTTATCCAATCTTAATTCAGCTTGTATTTATGCCCAGTTAACTCCTCCCACAGTACTGGATCTAGCAGGACCAAGGCCCGGCATGGCCAGGTGGTTAGGGCACTCGACTCGCAATCTGCGGGTCACGGATTCGAATCCCCTTCCCACTAAACATGCTCGTCCTTTCAGCCGTGGGGGCGTTCTAATGTAACGGTAAATCCCATTATTCGTTGTATAAAATAAAGAAACTAATTATTAAATGACATTACCTCAAATTTTAAATGCAATATTTATTTATTTCTCAATATTACAAACACGTTGCCAGTCCTTTACAGAATAGCAGTGCATACTTAATAGTGAATTAAAAGTTTTATGTTTCAACACATAAACTAATTAAGGTTAACTAATAAAGGTTTATTTTAGGTTTATTTCTTCAACAACGCTACAGCAAGTTTGAGAATGATAACGAGTTGTTTTATAGTTTGTTGTGAAGATCCACTTGAGGTAAAAACCTAACATTTTATCGTTGAAAAGAGTTAGAAATTTCATTTTATAATCATGCTGAGAACTCAAACAAATTTTACGTAAACTACGTTAGTCGCGATTTAAGACCATCATACACTGGGCAAGTTGCCGAAACTAAGATCTGAAAACCTTGTTTTGGTAAAAAGAAAAGTTATTAATATTGGCAGAAAAATTTTCCGTAAATTAGTAATATGTTTCTGAGTTTTTACATGCAACCAATCAGATAAATATACTAAATCATGTGACAAAAACATCGTCCTTGTCACAAAATGGCTGATATAATTAGTAAAACGTTTTCTGAAATTATTTTATATGTGTGTATGCCAGAAGGTTCCTAAATCTTTTTTATCAAACGTGTGTCTGCTGGGCTTTAGTTCTTTTTTTAGAGCTGATATCGTGAAAGTCAGATTATCTCAACATCTGTCCGTTGAAACATCAAGGACTAAACATTAAATTCTGACATAATCTTACAAAAACAGTCCAACTTTATTTTATAACAAAATAAATCAGAGGATGAACTTGGAGACAGTTTTTTTTTCTTTTGCTTTGCGCAAAGTTGAACAATCGGTCATCTGCATTGTGTCCACAGCAAGTATCGAACCCTGTTGTTTAGTGTTTTTAGCTCTCAAGCTTACCACTAAACAGCAGGATGGAAGAGATTTGTCACGAATATTCTAGGATCGGATAATCAAATTAAAAAGTGGACTACATAATAAGATTTCTAAATTTATAAATGTTGAAAAATAGGCATTCTTCGTTATTGTCACTGTAATGGTTTATTTACAAATCAAGATTAGAATCTCACTTACTTCTCTGGGTTCTCTATCTCCACTATTGTGTCCGAAAGCTGTCTGTTAAATGTTTCCGGAAGAAGGAAGACCATAATGGCTGCTACTATTGACAGAACACCATAGATTACTGAAGGTACAGCGACGTGCGTGGATTTACTCTGCAATAGAAAACAGAACAACTTATCTAAACCGATTGGTAAACTTATGAATAAATTACAGAACTTTCAAAAAACACGCCATCTGTTGCATGTACAACTAGTTTACAAAGATAACATAAGGTTAATTTTTACAATCTTAAAGCTATACTTTTACAACATCATTTCTTGATAAATATTGAAAGAATGTAAACATTCTCTGAAAAACTGTCAAACATTCTTATTTTAAATAAAACTTGATCGTGTTTAAAGCTTTTGCAATGAAAGAACATTTTTTTAAAGGTTCCGGAAGGATTACGTAGTCTCTAATTCATTTATGTGCACACTCGACTCGCAATCTGAGGGTCGCGGGTTCGAATCCCTGTCACACCAAACAAGCTCGCTCTTTCAGCCGTGGGGGCGTTATAATGTAACAGTCAATCCCACTATTCGTTGGTAAAAGAGCATCCCAAGAGTTGGCGGTGGGTGGTGATGACTAGCTGACTTCCCTTTAGTCTTACACTGCTAAATTAGGGACGGCTAGCGCAGATAGCCCTCTTGTAGCTTTGCGCGAAATTCGAAAACAAACAATTTATATGCAACATCACGGTACGTTCTTCCCACATAATAAACAAAAAATGTATTTCCCAATCACTAACTAAGTGAAATAATATATTTATTATTAATATTAATGTTATTGTTAATGTATTACTATGAAACAACATATTGGATTACAAAAGAAATTTAAAATTGTCAAAGTTAGTTATTTAAGTTCTCAAAATGTTATTTTTACCAGCTGTTCAGAAAAAGTTTTGAATTTTATTAACAAGAAGTTATATTTTACGCACACCAGCTAAGATGAGAGGATATATTAATTAATTAGTACCTATATTATTAATTATTACAAGACGTTCGTCTCGTTACTCATTCAACAACGAATCTCATCACAAGAAAAAAAATATCCTGGCTATATTCAAATCAGAAAAAATCTCTATTTTTTAAAATTGTTAAATATTTGGAATAGGCAGGATGATAGCTAAGTTTTGCAAATGTTTATACAATTATTAGTTTAGAACTGGTTGTAACATTGCGGTAAACACAACTGAGGTCTTCGTGGAGATGTTTGGATCGGACAAGAAGCGACATTATAGGAAGAACAACGAAGGGTTTTAAGCGGTTGTTAGTTTCGAACTGGTAAGGACCTTGCAGAATGAACGGAGATTTTAAAGTCATTGTTAATGTTATAATAACGTCAGATTATGTAATTATGTACTGGTTTAAACATATATTTTTTACCAACCTTTAATAAGATGACACACAAACGTATACAAAGTGTAGGAGTGCCAGTGAAGTTTGATTATAGCCAATGTTTTATTCTGAACTTTTGTTAAGAAAAAGTTTGATATTTAATGTGTGATAAACGTAGCCAGATAGCCGTATATAGATACGGGCCGCCCGGCATGACCAGGTGGTTAGGACGCTCGACTCGCAATCTGCAGGGTCGCGGGTTCGAATCCCCGTCACACCAAAC